TCAAAAACCAAATTAGGTGGCCTATGACATAGACTAAAAATCACTGCACATTAGAGGCTGCTCCTATAGACTAACTAGAAAATCACTACACATTAGAGGCTCTGCCTAAGACGTACAAACCATCACTAGCAATTAGGCTTGCGCCTATAACATAGACAGAAATAGCAATAGCACATTATAGTCTGCTGCCTATAGACATAGACTAGAAGTATCACTAGCACATTAGAGTCTGCTGCCTATAGACATAGACTTGAAATCACTGGTTACTTTAAGAAATGGAACACTAGCCACTTTAATAAGGTTTACCTATCTTGCAATATTCATCTCATATCTATCTACTGTATTCTATGCTATTCTACGGTATCTTAGTCACTTTAATAATGTTTACATATCTTGGATTACTCATCTCATATGTATATACTGTATTCTATACTATTCTACGGTATCTTAGTCACTTTAATAATGTTTACATATCTTGCATTACTCATCTCATATGTATATACTGTATTCTATACTACTCTACTATATATTAGTCCATGCCGCTCTAATATCGCTTGTCCATATATGTATACATTCAAAGATTAATTCCTTACTTAGATCTGTGTGTATTGGGGTATATGTTGTGAAATTGTTAGATATTACTTGTTAGATATTACTGCACTGTCGGAGCTAGAAGCACAAGCATTTCGCTACACCCGCAATAACATCTGCAAAACACGTGTATGTGACCAATAATATTTGATTTTAATTTATTTAAATAATATGTTATCAAAATATATAAGAGGTGCTGTAAATGGATAGCACTTTTTCTTTGGATTGTAAAACATACTGTAGTTAAAGGTTATGGTAGGTCAGAAACATGATGTGTCCATAAATCTTTTTTAAATGTTCTGTCATTATAGATTAACAGCATTTTAATGTGGGTCTTACAGTTAAAGAGACAGGCAAGACAAGACAATATAACAACTCACATACATTCACTTTAATGTCAAAAACAATCAAAAAAGTTGAAAACAATTCAATTTAAGTGTATAAAAAGTGGTTCATGTTGACGCTGTATTGTGATCTGCTGCTTATGTCTATCAGGAGGCTCACATATGTTGTATTTTTTCAAATTAATAATATATTTTATTTTTTGCATACAAAAGCTGAGGGATGGGGCCGGAGAAATGTAACCACTCTCAAATTCATAGACAGAGCTATGGATGCAAGGACTGACCATTAATGATAACAAAATTACAGTTTTAACCATGTTTTGAGGCTGGGTTCTGATGGGGTATTACAGTTTAACTAAGCTCATGAGGCATTCATAAGTTATATTCTTCAAGATTCAACGGGTACATATCATGAATTTATAAGTCCAAAAATGGATGTAGCAACTGCAGATTGCCCCTTTAACTTAAGTCGCAAGAGTTTCAGCCAAAAATCTCAGCCAATCTCTTATGAACTAAAATAGGCTATGATTTCCATTGGACTCTGAATGGAAATTAATTCCTTTATAAATAGGTGTATAGCAGGATCCACTCCAATATCCAGTGATCTCTCTCTGGGCAATCGTAATTTGTGACACAATGGGCCAGCCAGTCACGTAACACATTTTTCCTCCCCTTTTAACTGGAATGGAGGTGAGTCAGCTTCTCCCTATCCTCCCTTACACATAGGCATTCTTATCAAAGTGCTGTGCTCTGGAGGGGCTGTTGTATTCAGGTGGAGGCCGCTGGCTCATGGGCTGCGCATGCCCTCTCGGGTGGGAAGAGACATGGGAGGTAGAGGCAGGTCCTCCGTAGGCATAGCCTGTGCGACTAGAGCTGTGAGAGAGAAATAGATAGAAAGAGTGAAAGACAGAGAGAGATGAGAGAGAGAGAGAGAGAGAGGAGAGAGAAGAGAGAGAGAGAGAGAGAGAGAGAGAGAGAGAGAGAAGAGAGAGAGGAGCATTCGATAATGCTCGATCTAGCCCTCTCTTAGCGCGATAGCATAGCTCTCTAGACTCTCCCCTCGATTCTCCTCTCTCATACTCTCTCTCTCTCTCTCCTCCTCCCTCTCCTCTCTCTTCTCTCTCTCATCCCTCTCTCTCTTTCCTCCCTCTCTCTCTTCTCCTCTCTCTCTCTCTCTCTCTCTTCTCTCTCCTCTCTTTTCTCTCTCTCCTCTCGCTCTCTCTCTCTCTCTCTCTCTCCTCTCTCCTACCGCTCTCTCGAGATATAGCTCATCTAGTATCGCGATATGATAGCCATTGAAGTAAACCGATCATATCATTTACCAAATATCAATTACATGTATGCACATCGTTACTGATGTCTGACTCACCTTCTGGAACTGTCTACTATGGAGAAGCAGAATATCACCCCTCCCAGAACACACAGGATAGATCCTGCCCAACCAATGAACAAGGCAACTCCCAGTTCATACCTGGAAAACAGGAGACCGGTTAATTAACAGCAACATTACTTCATCCAGGATCATATGAGTCACTGCACTGTATGTCTGGTCCTATATGCCACATGGGTTACTCACTTCTGAGCAACATACATGGGGTCAAAAAACTCAGATGTTATTCTGTGCGCGTACAGGGAGCATGCGGACAGCGAGCAGAGACCTGTAGAGAGGAAAATAACGTTCAGTGCTGCTACGCCATTATTTTTAATCAACGGTTGTGACATGATAGTTACCGCTGAGTATGAAATTGACCCCAGCGAAGCAAGCCATTCTGGCTTTGCTTTGGTCTGATCCCCCAATCTTGGTGCACTTCATTCCGACCAGGGCAAAGACGGCACCGAAGAAGCCCAGGCAGACAGCAGCGATCATCAGACCCCTGCAGACCTGAATATGGCCTGGAAGAAAGAGCACAGACCACGTGAGATATCTGGTACACACCTTTAGGCAGGGCCGGCCCGCTCATTAGGCAGGATTAGTGGCAGATTGACGAGGGCGGTATTTTTTTATCTAAACTGACCAAGACGCACCTACAACAACACATTAAACCTCACATAATTCTGCCCCAAAACAATGACAATTTCTCTCTCAACCAGTGGCATATGAGCTTATTAGGTGAGCGCTGATGCCGCCCTGTGATAAGCTGTGCCCACTTTGTCACAGGCAGGGATGCAAATATTGATCTTGTCCATTCCCAGCGCGCCTCTCCAGGGTGCTGTTGGAGAGACGCATCACTGCAGCGCTCCACCAACATTCCGTAAAAAAAAAGAAATCTAACATAAATGATAAAATGTATGAGATGTAATGAGAAGGAAACTTTTTAGATCATGCAGGTGTCTCCGATCAAATAGCCTAACCTAAATGGCGCCAAATCAAAAAAAAAAAAAATGACATGTTAACAAACAACATATCCTAAACACAGGAAAGGTGAAAGTGAAATTGACAATATGGAATGTACAATCAGGCTACTCACAACTGCTGTCCAAGAGTTTCATCCAGTGGGCTAAATTGTCATGATCAGTGGTTTCAAGTTTGTATACGCAAATGTCTTACGAGCTGATCATAGCGAAAAATAAAATACTTCTGCATTTCCTGCTGTGTAAAATGCATTGCAAATGTGTTCAGGATAACTCCTGATGAAGGTGGGTAGCTGATATTCAGAGCTTAAATAGCACAGGAATTAGGACTAATAAAGCCAATGCAACGGTCTGTTATACAAACGGTGGGCCTACCACATGGATGGGCATTCAAAAAATTCCATTGAGGGCTGACATGGTAGGCTATACCCCAGTAAGCACGGACCGATGCTGACGTCATTTAGATGTTGTTGTTTTTGTTCCGGACCGCCTGTCTTTTTTTTGTGCAGACATCTATGTTTAGTTCAGATTTTGTCCGGTCTGGAACCAGCCTTGATTTGGCCAAAACATAGATGTCTATAAATAATGTATTTTCACCTTTCATTCAGAACCTAATTGAACCTAAATCCAACGTCCTGGAAAAATAAGTATTTTAGACGTCTTTTCAATGTCATTTTGCTTACTGGGACTATTCTAGTGGTGGAGGCAGAATGGCCAGGACCTGCTCTGCCTTTAGGCAATGCTTCTTGATTTTATGTAGGCCTATAGTCAGCAAAGTCAATGCTTCTAAGCATTCCCAATAGCTAACTGTCCCCCAGCCATTTCCCCCAATGCCCTCCACATCTCGTTACACCCACACACCATACAGGATCACAAGACCTTCATTTGCTCAGCTAACTGTGCAAGCAACAAATTGGTTCAGTACGCGTAAACAATCATTTGTTAGCGCAACCGGTAATTGTTTCTAAGTGAAGAGATGTGCTAAGGTGCTCACAGTTTTGGCATTGGAGCTGCCTTTGAGACGTGATTTACAGGCACATATTAGATTGGTGGTTAACCCCAGAAACTAGCCAACCATGGGAAATCAGCCCCAAGCTCCCAGTAAATCTCATTTATAGCCTCCCATGATGTTAGGCTAAACATTGACATCTTTGAAGGTAGATGACTTGTCCCTGGGAGAACACTTGCATTGTGACTTCCCCACAAATCTATTAGCACTGGCAAGCTCTGAGCCCTTCTCTTTCCAAGTAATGAGCCCTTCTCTTTCCAAAGTAATGAGAAATTGAACTGTGGCGCAGTTACAGTGAGGTGGTGGATCCACTGACCCTCATCTGAGACCGACGTTGAAACACTGCTAGTTTGCAGACTCTTCACTTTCATTAACGTCCATGAAATCAAATACAATCCATGTAACAGTTTTCTACAACTAGCCCATGCTTACCGAATGCATCGAGATGTAATCACTTGAACAAGTGGATCAAAAAATGAGGATAACTATATATTTACACAATGAGGGCGTTAGAATCACAATAATTTCCAGTTTGGTTAGGGCAAAACAGAAAGGGTTGGTTTAGATTGTTGACAGCGTGTAAACTATATTTAGTCTCCAATGTTTATTGAAAACAAACCCTCCCGTTGTCCTAGGGTCAAAATGACCCGCCACTGTGTTGAACCAACTTTATTTAATTTTTATATTTTTGGGATCATTTGTGAGAAGGAGGCAGTGAGACTTTAAAGAAAGTATCACTGCCTCCTTCTCACAAATGATCCAAAAAATTAAATAAAGTTGGTTCAACACAGTGGCGGGTCATTTTGACCCTAGAACAACGGGAGGGTTAAAATATTTGCACAATGAGCACTTGTTGTCTCTTAAATACATTGTTATAGTTGTTGAACTAGCTAGCGAATTCTAGCCATATTAGCATTGACTTGAAATCAGTCACAACGCCTCAAAACAAGACATGGTATCAAGAACAAGATGAAACTAGCTGAAACGAACCACTTACGATTCCCAACATGTCAGTTTCTTGTCATTGTTGTTAGCTATCTGGCCATCCAGAATCACAACAACTCACGGACTTCTGCCCCTCTGAAGATAGCGCGTCGTTTTCGTGACGTTCTCAGCTAATCCATCTATAAGCAGTTTTTTTTACATTTTAAAAGCTGTATTGCAGGGGTAGACAACCCTGTTCCTGGAGTGCCGCAGGTACTGCAGGATTTTGTTCCAACTAGGCACCACACCTGACCAACTGAGCTAATTGATTCAACACCCCTGGTCTTCCAGGTTGGTTCAATCAAAAACATGAAGTGCCTGTGGCCCTCCAGGACCAGGGTTGTCCCTGCAGTGTTGTATCACAGTAGGCCACTAGCCCAGTAGGCCAATGTTGCTAAACAGCTACTATAACACACTTTCCCAATGACAAAAAATAAACTTTGAGCAGACCGTCCAGTGCCAGCATGGAGGGAAAGTCCTTGCAGTTGGAGACTCCTGTTGAATCAGTGACACAGGCCTTCCACAGGTTGGACCAGTAGGTAGCTGTGGTGATGACCGTGCCATCCAGAGAAGACACCTTCCAGTAATCCGTGGGTATGGTGGAGGAGATCAGGACCCAGCCAGATGTGGTCAGAATAAAGGCCAAAATCTCTATCACCATGTCACTCATTGTGTACAATACACCAGCGCTTACTACTGAAGTTGGTGAGAACTTCAGAGGTCACGGAAGAGTAACGATGTAACTGATGGTCCACTGGCCAATGAAGCTTGGTGAAGACAATCCCAGGCATGGGCTCTGGAGTAGTAACCCAGGTTAAATGGCCATGGTGGGATTCATGGTTAATATGTTCTGGAATGTTTCCTATTAATCAGGGAGGGGTTTAGCCCTCATTGTCGACGACTGACCAATGGTGTCTAGCTTCCTCCACCCCCTCACCTGACTGTGATAGAGTTGATGGGAGCTAACTGTGCAGAAAGGCCAAAGGTGGCGGATGCACTGTCATGACGTGTCAAAATGTGTCATGATGACTTCATATATGATGCCTCACATAACAAGAGGATGAATATACGTGATTCAGAAGATTTAGAACTTATAGGCCTATAACGTAGAGGAGGTGGTACAAACAGCCTGTACATCTCAAAGGGGATCATCACGATTAGCATGGGGAACATAATACAGCCACTTTCGACTCTGTCATAACAACCTGCTCATAGGGAAGCGATTAAGTATTAAATAACAAGAAAATGTGACCGAAGGTTAAAAGTAGAATAATACTGATCACTCATTAACGCTCACCATTCGCACCATGGACTGATGCTTCAGAGACAGAGAGAGAGAAAGAGAGAAGAGAGAGAGAGGTGGAGCAACTCAATGACATGGGGAAGGAACTAGTTAACAAAACAGGAAGGAACTAGTTAACAAAACAGGAAGGAACTAGTAACATAACAGGAAGGAACAAGTTAACATAAAAGGAAGGAACGAGTTAGCATAACAGGAAGGAACTAGTTAACAAAAACAGGAAGGAACTAGTTAACATAACAGGAAGGAACAAGTTTACATAACAGGAAGGAACTAGTTAACAAAACAAGCAAACAAATGGCTATACATAGTCATAGATCCTACAGTACATTCATAGGGATACAGAAGGAATTCTTTCTTCCTAACTATTTTTTTACAGTTACCTTAGCGGCCCATCTAGTGGTAAACTATTGTACATGTGCACAGTTTCAAACACCACCACATGAGGGAGTTTAAGGAGATCAACGCGCAATTGACATGCACAGAATGCGGCGCAAAAAAAGGCAGTATCATAAAGCGTTACATTTCTTAAGTTTCCAAAGTAATGATCCAGAAACATGGCGTATGATGATTGCCTGTGTCACTGGGAATTGATCCATTATAACCACTGTACTTTGGGACAACAGAGCGATATCATGGTGTCAATTCCCTTTCGATGTCCTCAGAAGAGATGAAACACAACTGAAAAATGTGTCTCAGCAATGTTATAACTACAATTACTAGTTCTTCTCAACCAAGCCTATCATTGGTACTACGTTTGGCAGAGCAATGTCTCCCCCTGGCTATTTTGACATGTTGTCCTGTACACTGTATGCCTCAGACAGGAGCCACTGTGATTCAGTCCGTGTACCGCCTGTTCTCTCATTCTTTCCTGAGGAAACACCATGATATCTCTCTGTTGTCCCAAATTACACATTGTTATGTCATCACCTGGAACACAAAATGCATAAGAACATGAATTGTTCTTATAGTTTATATTTCAAATTCCACAATGTGATCAAATCCACTAGTGTTAAACTAACTATATTTTACAAATATAACAAACTGTAACAACTGTCAAAATACCTTCTGTCAACGAAGAACATCATGCTCAGTGGCATTAAAACATATGTGTGAATAATTTATATTTAAGAAAATATCTACAAATATACAAGGACTATTGATATACAAATATTGCAGTTTTGATCTTACAAATGTTGCTGTTTCATTTGAGCTCCTTCCTTTTGTAGATAGCATCACTTGTAGGCCCAGTTTATTAATAAATAAAATGCATATTATGCACGTATCATGTGATTGTCAGTAAAGTCCATTTTAGTCTCTCAAAGTGTACTTAACAGCTATTGCACAGTATAATCATACTGATAAGACAGGAGCATGAAACACAGTGAAGAAAGAATATTAGTGAACCAGGATGTTTTTCATTTAGTGAACCAGGATGTTTTTCATTTAGTGAACCAGGATGTTTTTCATTTAGTGAACCTGCATAAAATAATGTCACAGATCGGTCCGTTGTTGGTTGTCACCATATATGATCTCTGTGTGATATGGATGGAGGGACCTTCCTCCCCTCACCTTCCAGTTTGAAGATAGTGTGGTGTGGTCTGCAGTGCAGGGCTCCGATGGCGTTTCCAGCACAGTTATTCCACAGTCCCTGGAGAATCCATGTGGCCGTGATGACAGAGGAGGCTCTGCTGGTGGTTTTCCATTCGTTGGACAACGTGGCGCAGAAGGTGGCACCCAGCCCAACCAGGCCGCCCAGGAAAGCCAAGATCTGCATGCCTGACATTTTGGAAAAGCGTGAATTTAAAGTTTTTTTTTCAAAGTCTTTCAGCAGATTAAAAAATGAGAATAAATAAAATGCCCCAGGCGAGCAAATTACACTGAGGATGTGTTCCACAGAGATGATTTACACTGAGGACATGTGTTCCACAGAGATGATTTACACTGAGGACATCTGACCTCACACCATTTATTGAGCAGAGGGATGGAAGTGAGTGAAAGAGTAAATGAAGTCAACTGACAGTTAGTTATTCAAATGAAAACAGGAAGCATTTTGAAAGGTTTTCCTTTTTTGTATTTTTTTGTGCTCTCCAGATTTGGTCTTTGAGTTCTAGTGTCATATTAACATGAAAGAAATAAAGAACTAATCAGTAAGCTATAAGACGATCAGCAATGTGAGAAAGTCCAGTTACTAGTTCAACTGTTCCAGCTTACAGAATAGGCCAACTTACGATAAAAATAGCTTTTGTTTGACCTTAAATAAACTTTGGATGGGCTATAAACGCACTATTATACAATGTACACGTGTGACAGAAAGAGCTCTCCAAAAAAATTCGGAACTGGAACAGGAAACGTCAAGCTGAAGTCAAGTACCGCAGCAGTTGTCCCAAAGAGTAATCTCCCTTTTTGTGTATTTACATCTGAACTCGCCTTATCTCAATGTATTTGACCTTTAACCCATACTCACCTTACCTAGAGTGCTTCACCCCAATATTATTGAGTGCAGTGAGAACGTTTGCAGTGCTACTTTATTTGCATGCCACTATGTGTGCATTATTGAGGCCACTAGAGAGGTACTAGGGCCAAGGGGGATGGCTCCGGTCTAGCTAGGAGGGGAATCTGGTTAGAGCGGGGGACAGGGTTAGGAGATCTGCCAATCCACCTGTTAATTGTTGAGTTCCAGCCTGGGGAAAATAAAGCTGCGTTCATACCTTGACGCTACACTATGTAACTTTTTGGGAGACCCGACCAAATTCATATAGAAATGTAAGTTATAGATCTGTCATTCTCATTGAAAGCACGTCTAAGAAGTGGTAGATCTGTTCTATGTGCTCTATTTCTATGCTTCCCTTTCTTTTTTTCTTTCTTTTTTTGAGGGTGTATTTGGTATTTTATCAGGATCTGTTGCGAAAGCAGCAGCTACTTTTCCTGGGGTCCACACAAAACATGAAACATGGCATAATACAGAACATTAATAGACAAGAATAGCTCAAGGACAGAACTACATACATTTAAAAACGGCACACATAGCCTACATATCAATAGGTCCAAAAGGCTTCTCAACAGCTTCTACCCCCAAGCCATAAGACTCCTGAACAGCTAATCTTGGCTACCCTGACTATTTGCACTGCCCCCCCCACCCCACCCCATCCCCCCTCTTTTACGCTGCTGCTACTCTGTTTATTATCTATGCATAGTCACTTTAACTCTACCGACATGTACATATTACCTCAATTACCTCAACTAGCCGGTGCCCCCGCACATTGACTCTGCACCGGTACCCCCCCTGTATATAGCCTCCCTACTGTTATTTTATTTTACTGCTGCTCTTTAGTTATTTGCTTTTATTTTTTTACTTAACACTTTTTTTATTTAACTTTTTTATAAAAAAAAAACTGCATTGTTGGTTAAGGGCTTGTAAGTAAGCATTTCACTGTAATGTCTACACCTGTTGTATTCGGCGCATGTGGCAATTACAATTTTATTTTATTTTGTTTTATTTGAATACATACTGTACACACAAAATATCTAGGTCAAATAGGGGAGAGGCGTTGTGCCGTGAGGTGTTCCTTTATCTGTTTTCTGAAACCAGGTTTGCTGTTCATTTGAGCAATATGAGATGGAAGGGAGTTCCATGCAATAATGGCTCTATATAATACTGTACGCTTTCTTGATTTTGTTCTGATTTGGGGACTGTGAAAAGGTCCCTGGAGGCATGTTTGGTGGGTTAAGTGTGTGTCAGAGCTGTGTAACACAAGAACAGCAAACAATTGTTTCTTATGAAAAGAAGAAGTGATTTTTTTGTTGTTGTTGATTAAAACATACGATCAGATCCTGCAGTGAAGCAGCTCAACATTTTACATTACATTCAGTCATCTAACCGTTTCCCATTCAGAGCAAACCGTTCTTAAGTTTCATTTTTGTGTCTTTTACTTTGATTTTGTAAACCAGCTTCAAACAGCTAAAAATACAATATATTTTGGTGATAAAAAATATATTTCACAGCGGTTTAGAGGGTACAATGATTCTCTACACATAAAATGCCACATAAACTGAAATTAGGCAAACTATTAGAACGTTAGCAACCAGGAAATGGCGGCGCGATTTCTGCATATTGCACCTTTAAGTCTGTGGTCCTGTGTCTCTGTAGTGGTATGCTAGCGGTTAAGAGCGTTGGGCCAGTAACCGAAAGGTCTCTGGTTCGAATCCCTTAGCCGACTAGGTGAAAAATCTGTCGCTGTGCCCTTGAGCAAGGTACTTAACCCTAATTGCTCCTGTAAGTCGCTCTGAATAAGAGCGTTTGCTAAATGACTAAAATGTAATTGGGGGAAGGTTATTGGGGTGTCACGGTTAAAATTTCAGACCGGGGTGTCAAGGTTGAGGTTTCAGACTGTGACATAAGCAAAGGCTAGCAACATTCTTTCCCATTGGTGCCCAGATGTTGAGGTCACACCCACGTTCTTTAAGCAATATGGTTTAATACAATTTAGGGCTGCTTGGTGTCAAGAATATAGGCACATCTGGTCCACAGGCTGCCCATTCCAGACCCAAGATAGTAGACTGCTGTGAGCCTAGGACGATTTTTAAGTACAATTATTTTAAAGGAAGCCCAAAACAAAGCTAATGGTGTACACAATTAAAATATGTACATATCTGATCTACAACTGGATATGTGAGAGGGGAACAATATCCTCTGCTTGAACATCCACACTATTCTTTGGGACATCTTCTGTATTCCAATTTGCTTGAAAGAGTGAGGACTCTTAAGTTTGACTGATAAAGCCAAGAGTTTTCCCTAGCCAGGTAATCTGGTCAGGACAAAAACGATTTGCTGTAATTCTAACATATTATGTTTAATGTTTTAAGTCAAATAAGTTAAACATGTATTACAATGTGTGTGTTTGTGTGTGTGTGTGTGTGTGTGTGTGTGTGTGTGTGTGTGTGTGTGTGTGTGTGTGTGTGTGTGTGTGTGCGCGTGTGTGTGCGCGAGTCTGTGTGTGTCCTTCCCAGAGCGATGTACCAGGATGCTGATATCTACCTGCTGGATGACCCTCTCAGTGCTGTGGATGCTGAAGTAGGGAAACACCTCTTTGAACAGTAAGTCCTTGAGCAGCTGGAAACATTCCCTATAGCACACCATCTCACCCACATGCATTTGGAATACTTTGACAAAACTAGTTTCTGTTTATAACATGGTTTGTTATAATAATAATAATAATATAATATGCCATTTAGCAGACGCTTTTATCCAAAGCGACTTACAGTCATGCGTGCATACATTTTTGTGTATGGGTGGTCCCGGGGATCGAACCCACTACCTTGGCGTTACAAGCGCCGCGCTCTACCAGCTGAGCTACAGAGGACCACATTTCTGCTACTTGGTGTATCTGTGGCCTGTTGAGGAAGAAGCCTCACATCCTTGAAGGCTGCAGACCAGATCCTGGTTCTGAAGGAGGTGTTGGGTATGTGTGGGTGGCTCTTGCTGTACCATACCATCTCTATAACACATACAGTGACTTCAAAAAGTATTCATACCCCTTGACTTATTCCACATTTTGTTGTGTTACAGCCTGAATTCAAAATGGATTCAATATTTTATTCTCTCACCCATCTACAAACATTAACCCATAATGACAAAGTCAAAACATGTATTTAGACATTTTTGCTAATTTATTGAAAAGGAAATACAGACATATCTCATTTATATAAGCATTCACACCCCTGAGTCTATACATGTTAGAATCACCTTTGGCAGCAATTACAGCTGTGAGTCTTTCTGGGTAAATCTCTAAGAGCTTCGCACACCTGGATTGTACAATATTCGCACAGTATATATATTTTTTATTCTTCAAGCTCTTGAAGTTGGTTGTTGATCACAGCCATTTTCAAGTCTTGCCGTAGGTTTTCAAGCCGATTTAAGTCAAAATTGTAACTAGGCCACTCAGGAACATTCAATGTTGTCTTGGTAAGCAACTCCAGTGTATATTTGGCCTAGGTAAATTTGTTTCCCAGTGTCTTTTGGAAAGCAGACTGAACCAGGTTTTCCTCTAGGATTTTTGCCTGTGCTTAGCTCTATTTCGTTAATTTTTATCCTAAAAATCTCCCTTAGTCCTTGCCGATGACAAGCATACCCATAACATGATGCAGCCACCACCATGCTTGAAAATATGAAGAGTGGTACTCAGTGATGTGTTGTGTTGGATTTGCCTCAAAGATAACGCTTTGTATTCAGGACATGAAGTTAATTTCTTTGCCACATTTTTGCAGTTTTACTTTAGCGCCTTATTGCAAACAGGATGCATGTTTTGGAATATTTGTATTCTGTACAGGCTTCCTTCTTTTTACTCTGTCATCTAAGTTAGTATTGTGGAGTAACTACAATGTTGTTGATCCATCCTCAGTTTTCTCCTATCACAGCCATTCAACTCTATAACTGTTTTAAAGTCACCATTGGCCTCGTGAAATCCCTGAGCAGTTTCATTCCTCTCCGGCAACTGAGTTAGGAAGGACACCTACCTGTATCTTTGTAGTGACGGGGTGTATTGATACACCATCAAATGTTTAATTAATAACTTCACCATGCTCAAAGGGATATTCAATGTTTGCTTTTTTTATGCACTATATAGGAAATACCTCTGGTCAAAAGTAATGCACTATATAGGAAATACCTCTGGTCAAAAGTACTGCACTATATAGGAAATACCTCTGGTCAAAAGTACTGCACTATATAGGAAATACCTCTGATCAAAAGTAGTGCACTATATAGGAAATACCTCTGGTCAAAAG